AATAATTAACACTGTCGGGAAACACACCTGTAACAGTCTGAGAAATCAGATAGGGAAGCCTACTACTGGGTTTGTCGATCACGCTCTGTAGCGCTAGATCCTACGAATTGGAAAAATCATATTGGAATCCTAATATAAATAATCTTAATCTTTATAAAAAAAATATACAGAAACCTACGGGTAATTCTTGTAATACGTGGTTCGGACTGATCTGACGAACGGACAACACCGGACCTAACTGATCCTTGCTCAGGTGAAACACGAGTACCTTCATAAAATATTTTATTGAATCAATTCCTTAACCAAAACTCTTAAAAATAATCAAAATATTAAGATACTAAGCCTTTTTGGGTTCACAGGCTCGATTCGGGAATTTCGGGTCAGCATTTGGGAAAACGGACTTCGGAATCAAATTTAGTACCTTCCGAAATTTTGAATTCTTGATCAAAATCAAAGTCAACGGGTTTGACTGACGATTTAGAGACTTTCAGGTTCGAATTTGGTGAAACGGACCCTAAAAACGGATTCGGGACGTCAAAAATTGTCAGGATAGGTATTTTCGGAAAAGATTAACGATTGTTTAATAGCCGATCAAAGTTCTGGTCAAAGGAGGTCAACAAACTGTCAACCATTTTACACAAATAGCACCCTTTTTAAAATAATTACCAAAATAGCACCCTTTTCGAATTAATTCTCAAAATAGCACCAATTTCGAATTAATTCCCAGAATATCATTATTTCGAAAAATTATCAAAATAGCACCCATTTCGAATTAATTCCCAGAATAGCACCAAAACCGAATTAATTCCCAGAATAACACAGGTCAACGGTCGGGTTGGGTTAACTGGTCGGGTCAACGGGTTTTGACCGGTCAAACCGGTTTCCAGATTTCACTCGCCCTGCGGCGGCGCGTGTGGGCGCGTGAGGTGTCCCCCGGGGCTCTAAAAATCACAGAAAAATTTCTAAAATTATTTTGAGCGATTTCGAGATACTTACAAGGATCGGTTCAAATTTTTGAACGGCGGAGAGCACGATTTCATCAAATCGGAAACTTTGACCGGTTCACCTCCCCACGCGCCGCCGTCAACGGAGACCGAGGATGACACCGGCGGACTCGGAACGGTACAAGGAACACGATGGTGCGAGAGGTGTCGTAAACGGAGCAACGATCGGCGATGAATTTAGAATTTTCTAGGCGATTGAGCTAAAAAAATGTCGATGCTTTGACTTGAAATTCACGGCGTTTGGCAGCGTTTCGCTTCAATTAAATTGAAGGGTTTGTTCCTGCTCGATGATGAACACGATGGTGGTTTTAAAATGACGATCGGAATTCAGACAGCGTCGGGATCGTCGTCAGAAGTTGAGGTTGGGAGAGGGAATTTGGGAGGAATTGGTTTCTGATTCACGTATATAACAACCCATACCTAACATTTTAGGGTAAATTCAGGACTTGGTCCCTGAATTTTTTAACTCTAAAATAAGCTTCAAGTTTTAAAAACTTCCAATTTAGTCCCCAAAAATCCACCAATTTTCATAATTAAAACCTCAATTCCCAATTAAATATTATTTTAAAATTTTCGGGTTGTTACAATCAAACACCAAGTTTATGCAAATCAAGCCAATTTTCTTTCAATATTCATTTTGCTTTCAAAGAACACCATTTGTGCTCATTTGTAATTATTTGTGAGTGTTATTTCTTGTTCTAGAATTGTGCAAACATCTTACCTTGTGAGGTTTTCTTTGTAAGTTTGCAAATTTGTGTATTTCTCTTTGAAAAAGAGTGTGCTCAAGAATTTATAGTATAATTCTTGAGGGAGCTGTAAGGTTACTCTTTGTCCTTAAAAAAAAGAACAAATTAGTGAATTTGTTGGAAAATCCTTAGTGTGGATAGCTAAGGTAGTGGACGTAGACTTTGGTTGATAAAGTCGAACCACTCTAAATCGCTGTTCAATTACTTTCAATTTTCTACAAAAGCTTCCACCAAAATTTTAATTGTCAATTTACCCCCTCTTGGCCGATTCCGTCAATCGATTAACTCAACAGTGTTCATTTTTGGTTTTAACCGAATCAACCAATTGAATCGAATTAGTTCGGTTAATCCGGTCGGCCACTAAATTAGTTCGATCGGGGAACGGTTAACAATTTTTTTAGAATTCGGTTAATGATTAATTCAGTTCAAAATCGGTTAATTAATCGAATTAACCGAAATTAAATTTTAAATTTTAAATATATTATATATAACATATAAGCTAATCTCAAACCATTTAAACCCAATTAATAATTTAAAATCCAATAACTTTTAAACCCAAATCAATATTAATTAATTAAAAAAATCCATATAAAATTTTTATTTTATAATTATATATTATTTAAATTAATTGTAAACTGTTTTTTTGAATTAAAAAATATTCAATTTTTTTAACTTTTCTCTATGGAAATCGATTCTGTTTGCTTCAATGAAACTAGAAATGTTTACTTTTCTATTTGTTTTATTTATATTTTTTTGTTGAAGTAAATATGAACTGAAATATTTGTATTTATTTGTTAAAGATTTCGATTCTTTTTGTGTTTGATCGATGGAGATTTCGTTCTCCTTTTCTTTTTTGTTTGTCATGAGGTTTAAGTTTTTACGTCAATTAATAAATCTATGTATAGATTAAAGACTGCAGAGATTTTCTTACTTTTTTACACGGTGTATGAGTATTATTTGTTTATTTATATTTATTTCTTTTACGGGTAATGTCATCTCTTTTGCCTCGTTCTTTCGCCAGTGTAATTGCACTCTCTCGCCATTTTAATTATTTTCCCTTTTGCATTTAGTATCATCTCCAACAATTGTTTGATTTTTGTGAATAGGCTGACTTTTTATCGGATCTACAAGAAGAAGGCAGTGGAGGAGTTTCAGGCAATCCGGTACTTGGTCACGGTTATGAACTGCATCTCTTGGTGTTTCTATGGCCTCCCCTTTGTTAAAAAGGACAACCTTTTAGTGTTGACCATCAACGCCGTCGGTCTTGTCATTGAATTGATGTACCTAACCGTGTACGTCATTTATGCCAATGATCAGAAGAAAAGGGTACGCATATATGAACCATTCTCTCGGTAATTATATCAAACACCTTTTGATGTCCATAAATTTATATAGATTGAACGTAAGCATCGATATTGGTAGAATTTTAGGATGAGAACACATGTTAGATTGAACGTAGGCATCAATATTGGGTAGGGTTTTGGATGATGGGTTTTAAGATTTTGGGTTTTCGTTGTCATTACCATCTTTAACAGCCTATACCTGATGTTATTCTATTTAGTTTACCATTCATGTTGATTTGTTTGTACCAATTTTCAGCTTACTGTTGCCTATGTCCTCCTTGGTGAAGCGGCATTGACAGTAGCCATTGTTCTGGTGGCAATGCTGTCCTTGCACGGCAGCCACAGAACTCTTTTCGTTGGAGTTATATCTGATATTTTCAACATCTTTATGTACGCCGCACCTCTTGCCATCTGGGTAACATCTTCAACTCCATTGTTCCTCCACTCTAAGTTCACTCCTTTTTATTTTTTATATTAACAATTCTTGTTTAAATTAACAGAAAAAGTTATCACAACAAAGAGTGTGGAGTACATGCCCTTCTGGCTCTCATTGGCTGGATTCTCTAATGGTGTCTGCTGGACCATTTATGGCCTCCTTCCATTTGACATCTTCCTCCTGGTATGATATTTAAACAAAAATAATAATATCCATAGAAATGGAAGCAGTGATAATAGCAATAACAATAATGTGAATATTTGCAGATATCGAACGGCTAGGAGCAATCTTTGGGTTTATGCAGCTGGTTTTATATGGATACTATTACTTCAATGGGAAGGACAGTAAGAAAGACAAAAGGCCAGCAGCAGATGTTCAGCTCTCTAATCAGCCTGGTGGAGCACCCTAAATTTTTTTACATTTTGAGTTCCGAAGGGAACATCAACTTTACTCTCAATTTTGCTTTATTCTACAATTAGGACAGAGGTTTCTTAGTTTATGCTTTATGAATTGGTTAGTCTGCCTATTGGCGACGGGTATTGGGTTTAATTCTTTTTTCTTTTTATGCTTTTGTTTGGTATAAAATTCCATAATTTGCAAAGAACTAGGAAGGTCATGATTTTGTGGATAAAAATCATGTTTTGTTCTGTCAAATGTACAGGGCCGTTGGGATCTCTGGTGAAAATTGGACCTATAATAGACTTGACTTGATTTATAAAATATAAGTTGAAGGGTTTAGACCAAGATTTCGAGATGAATGGAATGAGGTATTAGTACCTCTAACACATAATTTAAATGTGAGAATTTTTCCTCTAAAAAAGAAATATTGAATGAATCGATTGGAAATGATGAGATTTTGCGACTTCTTCCCTTGTGAGTAAGATACTAATAGTAAGGAAAATGGAGTCTTCAATGACTGTAAATCTCGCCGATATCATTTGATAATACAAATTATTGTTGTGCCCCCCCCCCCCAAAAAAAAGAAGATTTTGGTTGGAATCATTAGCAGAAATAATTATGAACAGAACTTGAATAATTCAAAACTTTAATAATTAATTGATTAATTTTCATGTTTGAGTTGAATCTCTCGACTCTACATGATATATATATCTATATTAAAAAATATATATATATATATGTATATATCATACATGGTTACAAATATTTATAATTAAATATAAATAAAAATTTGAACAACTTGACTTGAAAAATTTTAAATAAATTTTGAGTTATTAAATAAAACTCGTTTACTTGAAATTTTTAATCCCATCAAAATAGTTCACTCTTAATAAAATCCACTTGCTCACTTACCGAGCATGATTTTCGTTGTTACTTGAAACATACTCAAACTTGGCTTAAATTGCGTAACTCGACCACGAGTGAGTTGATTCCTTTTCCAGTTGAATCTGAGTACTTGGTCAGCATAGATGTTTCGTTTATAGCATTAATATAGTCAGTGGATGAATCGGAGTTGGACCAAATCAGATTCACAGTATTCTGAATCAAAGGAGGAAACATGGCATCTGTACAAAATGCATGTTCGGATAGCACAGATACAACTTTCTACTTTCATCTCTTTTACATCGATATCTTTCCAATTCAATGAAATATGAATAAATTGGACCATTACTTGCCTCTAAAAGCCATGTTAAACTCAACGTGGTATCGATATCAAGGTCCTCGATATCTTCGGAAACACAAACAACCCTGAGGTTGATCGTGCGGGATCATGCCCCCACCTTTTGATGTGTCGATGGCCTCCAACATCGACACCACTTCATCCATCTCCGGTCGTTTGTCAGGGTTCGCATCCCAGCATCGCTTCATTACATTTGCAAGAGAACTCGGACAGCAACGAGGTATCTCCGGCCTCAGATTCTGTAGTTTAAAGTTTATGTTATGACAATATTTACAATCCATATGGAATCGTACATCATCGGAGATAATTCGTTTACCTGGCGGACTACAGCCGATGTCACCTCTGAGAAGCTGAGATCGGGATACGGCATGTCACAGCAATATATCTCCCACAAGCAGATACCGAAACTATACACATCGCACTTCCTATTGTAGGGATTGCCATTAAGGACCTGTACCAAATTTAGGGCCATTTAAACTCATCAAAAGGGAGAGACAGCAAAACTCAAAATAAAAGAATATACTGTATCATACCTCCGGTGCCATATAACCAAGAGTTCCGGTCTCTCCAGTCATGTCATTAGGATTTGAAGCCTCGAGTCGAGCAACCCCGAAATCAGCTATTTTGACCGTACGCGTCTTGTCCAAAAGCATGTTTTCGGTTTTGACGTCTCTATGGACAATCTTTTTGGAGTGAAGATAGCTCAACCTACAAAGTGTCGAAAGCAACGACATCAACACAAATGATTATCGGAACTTCGGTTTAAATTACAATTTATAATTTCACATGTTATATAATCAAAAGAAATTATATAGACAGGGCATAAGAATCCGACCCTCGTGCAAGATCTAGTGCCAGTTGAATAACTACTTTAAAAGCCAACTTTCTTCTCCGATTCTTTATCAGGTAGGATTTCAGAGCACCCCCAGGACAATATTCAACAATAACACAACAAACATTACTCGGCATACTGATGTGACCGTTTTCCGTTTGTATGCTCAGCTCCGACGACCCCATTGTTGCCCCTATAAACTGCATGGAAATATTTGGACACAGATTAAAGACAAATAAGTATAATGTTAAAAAACGCCATTATCATCTTGCATACCAATGTACATACAGACTTTTGTCAACACCCCCAATTACTGAGTTGACATATTTGAACAAGTAAAATAAGAGAAATAAACCGACTAAAAGCTTATGCATTTTCTATACATGCAAGCTTTCTTTTGTAGATGAAACAAATGCAGGTTTTGCAGTTCGGGTCAAGAAGAGTAAAGATACGGGATAAGAATGTGGAAAAGATTGTTACCTTTGTTACATTAGGATGATCAAGCTTATGCCACACTGCAACTTCTTGTGTAAAAGCTGCTCGAAGTGAAGATAGTTCGGCCTCGGATCTGTGGCCCTCTTCTCCCCAGTCAAGAAGTTTAACTAAGCATGACGGAAGAAACAAGAAAAGAAAGTAAACAGTTACTAAACAAATGTAAACCACACGATAGACCATATTTTTCATACATGTTTTAACTGATAGGCAATTGAACATCATACAAACATACCCAAAAATCACCCTTATGATCAATCAAAGCACTATCTAAAGGTCACAAATCTTGTTATGGATTAATGTGGCAGTTAAATACGTGTCGATGACCGGAAATAATCGGGGTCCAGCAAATGATCATTTGGCAGATTTATAGCTTAGCCAGAATATGCAAGTTCACTGTGTGAATGAAGCTTTTTATCTCCAAAAAGGTTGAGATAAAAAGTGCAAAACAACAATAAATTAGGACACATGAAAGCCTAACAAAAAGAAGAATAACATCATTTAGGTCACTGCAGCAGTTCAACTAACTGCCAGCTCGAAAGATCTCGTGAATCACGGATTCGATTTCCAGAAGTTTGATCCACAAGTTTGATCACAAACTGCCTAGTGAAAAATCAACAGATTCACAAGGGAAAAACAAATTTAAGCAATGGGTGGGTTGTTGTTGTTCTAAGAACTCTGGTTTCCTCTCTTTAATTGGATATTCCCAGCAGAAGCAAAACAAATGGAACAGTTGTAATCAGATTTTCAAGAGAGAAGCCCCTCATAAACACTTAGAGCAATCACTGCAAAACTGAGGCAGCAGCTTTGATATAATAATACTACTAATATAGGGAAACTATTCGATACCGGTCCCTAACACATTTTCGGACATAAATACTATGCATATGTGTATATACTCATATTTTACAATTACACAAGAAACATAGAAGAACACTAACAAAATCAAGCCATAGACAGTTCATCAACACTGCTTGAGTGCCTAATTCATAGAAAGTTAATTTACAAAGAAACTAAATGAAAAAAAGGAGAAAAAATGGGTGAAATCTATATCACAAACCAAGTGAACAAAACGGCACTTTCAGTACATGTAGAAAAAAAATGTTATTTAGAAGTGTTTCAACAACAAATGGATACTCAAAAGCAAATCATAAAGAGAGAAATGAGATTGGAAAAAGAAGAAAAGAAAAAGAAAGGTGAATAATATATGTGTATATGCATATACATATACATATACATATATATATATATATATACCAGCAATATCTTGGCCATCATAAACACCACGATGAACAGTGCCAAAAGTGCCACGGCCTATAACACTCTTGATGATAAGCTTAGAAGGATCAATCTCCCACTCTTGTCTTCTTACAGTGTTGCTTGACCTCAGCTGTGCTCCGCCGCCGCCACCAGCAGCAGCTGCTGCACCTCCTTCGTCTCCCTCGTCTTTCCTGTTCTTGTTCTTCTCCATCGTCCATGCTCTACTAAGATGTCTTTGAAGTTGCTCATCTAAGCTCTTCAGATCTATTTGATCTGCTCTTACATACCCTGCTCCACCACTCTCACTTTTCTCCTTCATTTTTTTCAACCCCAAACTGAAAATCCCAGCTTTACTCCTCGAATCCAACAAACAGTCAAAAAAAGAAAGAAAGCAACAATCTTTGAAAGCTATTAGCTTTTCTTCTTCTTCTTCTTGTGTTGAAGTGTTTCTGATTCAGGGTCTCTCTCCAAAATCTACACTAAAAAATAGAACTCAATGATAATCTTAAATAATATATATGTGAGAAAAGAGTAGCGTTGGTGTTTGTTTCAAACTCGCAAGCAGGCATGTGGGCACATGGATTTTGCCTGGAAACGTCCCTCTTATGGTTGTTTCTCCTGCTGCTGACTCTGTGTATAATTTTTGTTTTTTCGTATGGAATTCACGCTCATCTGTACACTTTTTCTTTTCTTTTTAAATGTTTAGTGAAACTTAAAACAATCACTTTCTAGCATAAATAAAAAGAATTTAATAATTAAGAGATTTATTATTATTTTTTAAAATTTTAGATTCAAATATAATATATGCAGAATTATAAATATTTATTATTAAATGATTAAAAAAATTCAAGTTACTTACTACTATGTCATTCTTCACTTCCCATTCATCGTACGAATACTTGTTGGACGAAATTGTAAGAAATTATCAAAATTTGGATTAATATGGGTAAAAGAAATTTTAATTGTAAGAAGTTGTAAAATTCAATGATTAAATATTAGTTCATAACTTTCCTTATTACACAAGACATTCAACACTTTTGTCATGTTCTCTATACTAGTCTTTAAGCACATTTGTTATACAGTTTGTAGTATATTTAATAATAGTCATTTGTTTGAAATTCATATAAATATTACATCACAAATGGTACGAATCAAGCTACCTCAATAGTCAAATGGATGATCGTTATCTATAGAAGCCTCAGGTTCGAACATAGAAACTACAAAAGGTGTTAGAACTTTCATTGTTAAATAGTTGATAATCTTTAAAACAAATACTACGTATAATCACTTAGATTAATAAAAAAAATATTACATCACAAGGTATAAATATGATAATTAAAGTTTAATAGTCATAATGCTTATAGATATAAAACACTTATTATTCAATTAAATATTATTTATTAAAACAAATTTATTTGTAGGAGTGAATAAAACTCAATTCATAATTTCATCTAAATTTTAAAAAAAATTCAAATAAAGTTTGACTTATAAAGTAGGACTCAAAAACTCAAAATTAAAAATTAGTTAAAAATTAATTAAATAATAATTAATTAATGGTTTAAAAATTAAAAATTGTCACTTCAATTGTGCCATTAAGTTTTTAATGGTAGAAAATTAAAATGAACTATACGTCACGATATGTATGATTAAAAAAAATGAAAGTTCATATACTAAATGAAATAAAAGTGATAGTTTATATTCTAATTATATAATTTACCCTCTTTAATTAAATAATAAGAGTAGCAGCTCTCAAGTTTATTTAAAAGAGCCAATCATGTACTGCTACACATTGTTTAAAGTCAATTATTAAATTATTATTGAAGTTTAGAAATGCCAATCAAACACAAGTTCTAAACCAGAGGAAATGGGCGGTGAAGAATTTTCTTTTCTTTTCTCTTGTAATAAACAATGAAAGAAGTGTGTTTGGATTGAAAGAAAAGAAAAAAAAGAGTGAGCAAAACCCTTTGAATGGGGTCAGCAATGCAACGATCTTTTTACTAAAAATAGGAAATTCAGTTATATGATTGATTGCATGCTGCTCGAAACTATTAACTAATCAAATTGTAACAATAAATTCATTAAAAAGCCAAGTGTGATGTTGATTGGTGGGGAAGGGAAGGCATTCTTCAGGGTGAAAGACAAGACTTTGGGTTTGAATATATACTCTTTTAGTTTCAATAATATCAATTTTGTTTTTAGTATATTTTTGTTATTTTAAAAAATTTCCATTCAATCACGGTAGCAAATGATTAAGCTTGAGAAAGTGATGAAACTTATGATAAAAGGGTAAATTACATGTTTAGTATTTCAACTATTATTTTTATTTTGTTTTAATCACTCACTTTTTTAAAAAAATCATATCTAATTTTACATTTTGGTTTCAATTTGTCACTCATCGTTAAAAGATTAACATAACTATTAACATTTTTTTCAATGATGACGTAACATTATCTTATGGTGATACATTAACGTCACTATTAATTTTTTAATCACGGGTGACCAAAATGAAATCAAAACTAAACATCATGTATATTTAAAAAAAGAGTTAGATGACCAAAACGAAACAAAAGTGATAATTGAGGTACTAAACGTATAATTTACCCTATAAAAGTGATGAAAGCCAAACTCATTTACTTAATTAATAAATCTATATGCATGGACTATTGAACTTAAATTAGCTGACCCTTATTCCCATATGTAATGGGTAAGGGAGAGGTAGGATAGTAGCTGCCCCCAACACCAGGTTGAGGCAACTTCCGTAGAGACCTCCGAATTATGAAATGCCTTCCGTGAGACTCAATCCCACGACTCCAAGGTTAAGAACTTTGTGCTCTACCAACTGAGTTGGATGGTCATTTCTAGACTATTGAACTTAAATGATTAAATTTTTTTCTTGAATCAAATTTATTTTTTAAAAATAAAAAATAAAACTCAATAGAACAAATGGAATTGAGATTCTACTTGAACTTGGATTTCACTTCGTATTCAATGTATAGGCATTAATTGGAGAATGGAGCCTAAAGGAGTACCTCCGTGCAATCCAAGGATTGAACCTAAACCCCATCTTTAAGCTTTTAGATGCTTCTATTTGGAACAAGTAATCATAAAAGAAAATAAAGTACGAGGCAAGAATTTATGACTCAAAATATTCCTTTTTTGTTTAGCAAAAATAAAACAGATGCCATTTCTTTAGGGTACACATTCAAGATGCCATTTATCGGGAGTAATAACAATGTGGACTACTCCACGTTCTCCAATCATTCAAGGACGAAATATAAAGTAAAAGTATTATCTATTAAACGACTCCATATAATAGTATACAATTCCAACTCAACTATCACTATTAACATTAGCTTTTTTATATAAAAATTAATAAATTCGTAAATAATATTTTTAATAATATTAAGATGATAATAAGATAATATATTTTTAGAATCTTTATTAACCATTAACAACGCGCAAGCACCCTACAGATACATCTACTTGAACACAATATGTTTAAAAATATATATATTATCTTTAACCAAGAAAACCACATAATAAATTCTTCTTAACTAATTCAACATTCAAACTTATAAATACTATATAACCAAATAACCCTAATATAATATCATAACAATTGGGGGGATTGGAAGACTTAATGTTGACTCATAACATACCATCAAAGAAGTTTAATCCCTTACTCTGAAAGTAACAGTGAAATTGTGATTATTTATTACGTTAAAAAAATTTCACTTCTTATGTTAGGTTTGCAACAACAAAATGCTTCCTCTTTGACAACCATATTAGAATACGTCTGTTGTTTCATTTTTTAAAAATCATATTTAACTTACAAATACAATATTTAATTAATGTAGAAAAAATCACGTTAGAACCAATAACATAAATGTGATAAAAATATAAGAAAATATCAAAATCTACAGTCAACAGTTTTTAATGTATTAACGTTTATATAATTTAATTATCTAAACAGAAAAGAACATTTAATCTCCATTAAATTAAATCAATAATACAATTTTTGACAAATTAAAGCATGTTAATTATATCTTAAATTTCAAGATAGTAAAAGAAACTAAAACTATATTTAATCAATATTACAAATTTCTATCAAATTAAAATATACCTAAATTTTAAGTTTAGATGTAATAGGACTAGAATTATATTTTGATATAAGCATATAGTCAAAATTAGGAAGGAGGGCATTTGGTTAAAGAGGCATTCAGATGAAAGGCTCAAATTATAGAGCTATAGGTTATTTAAATTTGGGTCATAATTCATACATATATTCAATATATATTTTATATGCTAATACTAACAAATTCAAAATATTAGGTTTGGGTTTACCAGATTCAACGTCTTATATATATAGTTTAAGCCCCCCTCCCTAGTATGTAGCACTCGGCCTCAGCGACCGGCCCTTGAATAAGAGCAGCAAGGGGCGGCAGGTCGAGGAGATAAAGCCAAAAGGAAAACAGGAAAGTGATCCCTAAACCCAATATGTTTCCCATGAATTCAAACACTATTCACTGCTTTACCAAACATCATCAACCACGTGAACTTGTGCCTTTATTGACTCGATGCACAAAGCCAAATAAGAGGTTGTTTTATAGAGAGGGGGTCACGGGACCAGGCCACACTAGACCAGTGGCCCCCAATTGTCTCACCGCTTTTTCCTCAAGGGAACTGGGATATAATTGGAGAAGCCAAAAATGCCCCGTGATATTGACCAAGGTTGGCTCAATGTCAAAGACTCTTGGGTCCTATCTCTCTCTCCCTCACTGGACCCAGTACTTGTTTTATTTTATATATATCCAGAACCCAGATGTATATATTACATAGCTATGCAAATATAACACGTCAAGGATCCTCCAAACACATTAATTTTTTTTCAAAAAGTTTAATTATGCGGGTAACATAGCTTATTTTACCAGATTTATGCAAATAAATCGCCCCAAAAGAAGAAAACATGCACACCAAATAAAGGAGAACAAGATAATAACGGTACCAATAGAAAGCCTTACTATATACTCTAGTCAAGCTCCTTGAATGGTAGCTCTCAACCAAAGTGTGTATATGTAGTAAAAGAGAGTGCTCCAATCTGCAGAAACGATACACAAAACATGTTGGAATTCAAAGTATACATTATGCAGAAATTAATGTAGAACCAGACAAGATTCACATTAACAATCGATATTTCTTTTTATCAACACGGTATGCTGTGTATGGCAGAAGAAAGAAACCAACTGACCTTAACTGTACACTGTGGCTTACCCTCTCTCTGCAGCTTGTTTCCTGTAAATTGGATAGTCCATTGATTCTCCTTGATTTGTTTATTACACTTCCTCTCCTGCTGGATGTTGCTTATATTTTATATTTGTTGAGCTCAAGTTCTCAATGGAAAATATAAGGCCACTAAAAAATATGGTGTGAGAACTTCCTTTATAAAGCACAGGTAAAATACACAGTGCGAAAAAACTCATTCCTGAACATAAAACACTCATCATATTAAGCAAACAGTAA